CGGCCGGGAATGATAATCCCACCCGCTCTTCTCCAGTGTCCATCCTGAGGTTTCCTTCAGCGCCCAGGGACCAGCTTCCACTGAGACTGGATCCAGAGAACCACTATCCATGCCTCTGTGTGCGTGTATTGCAGAATCACAGAATGTTCAGGGTTGGGAGGGACCTCTGGAGACCATTGCGTCCAACCCCCCTGCCAGAGCAGGGTCACCCAGAGCAGGTCACACAGGAACGCGTCCAGGTGGGGTTTGAAAGTCTCCAGAGCAGGAGACTCCACAACCTCCCTGGGCAGCCTGGGCCAGGGCTCCAGCACCCTCCCCGTGAAGAAGTTCCTCCTTGTGTTGAGCTGGAACTTCCTCTGTTCAGGTTTGTGCCCATTTGCTCTTGTCCTGTCACTGGGCACTGCTGAAAAGAGGCTGGCCCCATCCCCCTGACACCCACCCTCTAAGTATTTGTAAGCATTGATAAGATCCCCCCTCGGTCTTCTCCAGATTAAAGAGGCCTGAGTCACTCAGCCTTTCCTTATAAGAGAGATGTTCTACTCCCCTCATCCTCTTAGTGCTGTCCCCTCTGAAGCGGTTCCCTGTCCTCTTGGAACTGGGGAACCCAGAGCTGGACACAGCCCTCCAGTATGTGTATGCAGGAAAACAAACATGTTCCTTATTCAACCTGTTTAAAAGTGGGTTTGAAAGCTTTAACTCTGGTTAAACGCTGTAATTTTTGGCACAGCAGTTTCCCTTAGGGAAGAGCAACTACACATATTGGTGTGTTTCCTGCAAAATGATCACAAAACCTGTTAGTGGCGGAAGGGAATTCAAACGGTAGCTTTGGCACAGCAGCTGACAAGTCAGAAATGGTTTTAATGTCTTCCTGGCTGTGCTAAGTGTTGGTTGCATTGAGCACCAGGAGGAATAAATGGAAATTAAAGATTAGGAGCATTTTAGTTCCAAGCAGCTTCTGAATCTGGTCTTTGATGAGCAGCTTTCATTGTGCCACTAAGACACGGCGATGGCGTCTCGATCGCTTTTGAACCCAAAGTGGAGTGAAGTGCTCACAGCAAAGGAGGAAGAGCTTTAAGAGCTGTGAAGGAATCAATTAAAAGGCATTTGGTTCTGTGCCAAGCTCTAACTGCTGTGGAACCGAAATACGCCGCGTTTTAGTGCTCCAAGCGCGGGATGGTGAGGGCTTGTCTATATTTAAAACCAGGCAGGATTTTCACAGGTGGTCCCTTCCTTTTCTGAGCTTGTTGGTGAATGAAACTGAGTGATGCTCTGTGGTGGCACTGATCCTCACCTTGGGACATGAGAACGCTGCAGTCAGGTGCATCAGGGTTACACAGGCATGAAAAGATGCCATAGTGGGGGAAGAGTTTACTTCCCAGAGCATTGCGGGATCCTCATCCTCAGAAACAAACATCACTTGGATGAGGCTTAAGCCCTGGCTTTGCTGTTGACCCTGTCTGAGCGAAGGGGTTGAACCTTATGACTTCCCTGGATCTCTTCCAAAACAGACCAGTCTGTGATTATGTGATTTCCACAGTGCATCATTTTGTTGGCCATGTCCTAAAGGACACGGTTTTGTGTTAGATCTTGGGGTTTGTGTGCATGATTCGGTACCTGCTGGTGTCAAGGTGATGAGTGACCCCAGTCCCAGGAGGGCTGGAGGACACCCCAGTGCCCCATCCTAGAAAGACTTACCAATCTCTCCTTCACCAAGCTGAGCAGCTGATGCTTGTGCTGGGCTTGATTTTCTTCAGACCATGTCAACTGTGCTTCTGTCCACTTCCGATGAGTCTGCATCTGATCCCTGAGGTCACTTAGAGCACTTGTCAGCCTAAAAATACGATTTTTTTTTTAGTAGCAAGACTAAAGATTAGTCAATTTATGGAGGAGTCTTGAGTCACTTGAGTAAATTGTTTAAATTACTCAAAATCTCTTGAATAGCTTCCTAACAAGATTTAGGCTCATTTATTCTATTAATCCTTACATTGAAAGTTGTACCTACATGCCAAAATTCTAATTCCTGTAGCGAATCAACTCCATTTGAATCAATTCCATTCTAAGTGGATGAAGAAAATCCACTGTCGCATAGGATATTGACCAAATGGCTGGGCGTCAGAGAGAGAGAGCAGAAAAATCACTTGTGGCCTGAAAGTACAGTTCAAGAGGATGAAAAAAAAAGCATATAAACAAAATAAAAAGAGAATGTGGAGTTGCTGTTGAGGCAGCACTTGAGCAGAAAAATGTGAAAGCCCATCCAAAGGGAGCAAATCAGGCAGCGCCCAAGGAGAGAGGGAACCGTGGGCAGGAGTGGTGGATGAATGCTCTTCAGATTAAATCAGCAAACATGCCCGGTGAAAGGGAACTATGCGGTTTACATTTTGCTTTTCCTGTGCTGCAATGTGTAATTCATGACATGGCCTTAGGTCCAAGTTGTAACCACACGTACATTTTCATGCTTACGTCTATCACCTGACTGAAGGAATGCCAAGAGAAATTTTAATGGAAGTGTATTAATTTCTAACACATGCTTGCGTGCAAAAAACAACTACTTGAAATTTGTTTGGGTCTTGGTTAGGATGCAAACCAACAGGTGAGGAGCAGGGTTTTATAACTAGACTTAAAGCTTATGGTGGTTCTGATATTTAATGTCACTTTTCAAAAGTGTGTTTGAGTTAAAGTTCTCTTTACACCGAGTGATTGATAACAGCTCTGTATCAGTTTAATGAAGTGATAATTGCCATCACTGTAAATGTGGTAAAAAAAAATTAATTATAGCAAAATCTCTCCAAGTGATATGCTACTGTGGTTTGCTATACACAGTGTCTTTTCAAGATCTACAAAAGAAGCCTGTTAGGTCACTTTAGCACTAATATTCATTTTATTTGTTCTGAAATTTGTTTTTTCAGGAATGAAAACATCTGACTCGCACACGGTGTGTGAGGATAAGCATCCTCCTACCTGAGGACCAGTGAAGGAGCTGGCTGTTACCAGCGTTATTGCTCTGTCCAACCACCACTGCCAGCAAGGTCAAGGCTGGTACCTCTTCCGACAGACCTTTCATTGGTTATTTTCATGTGTACATGTATATAATCATGAGATTTTAATCCATGGGGTATAAAACAAAGGTCTGATGCCACTGTTTGTGTTAAGATTACTGAACAAATTTCGGGGATATAATTTGGTAGGTGAAGATGAGTTAACTGTGATGGAATTGATGGCCAGCATTGTCCAAAAGTTCAAAATCAAACTTTGTGTGACTTTTTTCCAGCTGTGCTTCAATGTCTCTGAAGATGGAAGAGGGAGAAGGAGGAAATATTTAAACCTAAAAATTAATTGAGTCTGCATTTAGGCAACATGGACAAGATTTGGCAAAGTCTGCCTTGGGAAGAAGGAGGAGACCTAGAGAAATAATTGACTTTTTATAAAGTTGTTTAATAAATACTGGAAATTATTGCTGCAAACCACACTAGCAGATCCTTGACATTACACAGCCTGTGTGGCTCAGACACAACGATCACCCTGATCTCTCCGGGATGTAACCCTCACAAACCAGAGCCAGCAATGGGCTCTGCGGAGAAGGATGAAGGTGGCTGGGGGACATGCTTGACAGTGACAAGATTATTTATAATAATACAATTATTATAAATAATATTAATATTTATAGTATAACATTATTTCTTATTAATAATAAAACAGAACCACAAGTTCTGTTAATATGCACTGTTAATAATATCACTGCATATGAATATCACTGTTAATATGTGATATATTAATATAATATCACATATATATCACTGCAGTGATATATTAATATATCACTATACATATATATCACTGCATATATAATATGTGATATATTAACGTCACTGTTAATATGTGGTTTTTTATTTATTTTAGGCTTTTCTCAGTTAGCATCCTTCCTGCATGGAGCTTACAATAACACATCTGACAAGAAGCAAGGCTTGAGAGGCAGATGATGTGCCATAGCCTTTGGCCCAGCAAAGCCCTGAAGTATTAATGAGAGGAGAGTTGTGATTATTTAACGGAATCATACTCCAGTAGTGCTATGATAAATTTTCACATGTGAAAACAGATCTGTTGGCGATTGAATTGGCTTTATGCAGTTGAATGCAGCTGTTCCAACCCAACCTACCCAGAGATAAGCATCCACTTCCCTGGGGGGCCAAATGTCTGACCAAGGCACAGTTCCCATGAAATCCTGAAAGAGGTTTCGAATTCATCCTTTTTTTTACTTTTTTCCCCCAGTAACGATGTCATTTTGTGCTTTTGCAATAAAACTGCCAGCTTGAAGGCAAAGGCAGCTGGGTCACAGACAGATGCCTGTCAATTGAAGAGGTAACTCTGGGCTTCAAAGATGATTTAAACATGCCAAGTTTTATGTGGAAGTTCCAGCCAGTTCCAGAAGTTAAATTTTATTTCAGCTCTATAAAAAGAATTCATAAATCTGGTAGACCTTTAAAGGAGCAATATAAAAGGAGACAGACATTCCCCAAAGGGCATGCTATTCTAACTAAATTTTACATTAACTGGAATAAAATCTCAACATTTGGTAAATAAGTATTTGAGATTTTATGTTAAATACACAATGACAACACATGTCATTGTCCTGAAAGCTCACAGTTTCTGATGACAATTTCCGTAAGGTCTCATTAACTTTCCAGAAAGTCCAAGTTTACTTCAATTCAGTTTTCCAATTTCTTTCTTTTCTGGCATCACTCTGTTTTTTCTTCCCTCTTATTTTCGTTTAATTTTTTTGTCCCTTTTTCACACCATCTTGATCTCCATCATCCGCTGCTATCTGTCTCCCTGTTTCTCCTTTCCTTTTGCCAATTTTAATTCATTGCCCACTTTAGCTGTTATTTCCCCATTCACCCCAATTCATTTTCCTGTTCTCTTGATGAGAACTTTCTTCTGTTTAAAGTTCTAGCCTATTTTTATTTCTGAATACAATTTAGATAAAATCTTAATTAAATAAATCTTTATTCAAATGCTTCACCATTTTAAGGAATAGAACTATTGCCTTTGACATATCGTTATTGCAGGATTATTATAATTAGATTTTCAATTATTTGTGCAGGCTGTGCTATTCAATGCTGGGCTGTTTTGCATTGTTCTGAATACAGATACCTTCGTTCCTTGCATCCTTCCCCAGAGCTTCCTCCTCTATAAAACTCTTCAAGATTAAAACAGCACCCTAAAAATACCTCTGCAGCTGGAACGGGAAAAATATGCTAGGTAATTAAGAAGCAAATCAATCACAAATCTGAGGAAAACAAATAAATCTCCTATCACATGAAGATGTGCAGCTACTTTTGCCCTGTGCCCACCTCCTTCCATCCATGGGACCCCTGTCACAGATGCTGCCTCAGAAGTGGGCAGAGGGTGCATAAAGAAAATGTCTTATTCTGCACATGAGGCAAGTTGCGAATTAGCCCCAATTTTCATGGTAAACAGCGTCTTTGTATTCGGTGCCTTTCTTTTAAGTATAGGAAGTTAATTGGTTTCATACCTTTCTTCTTACAGGCTGGCATTTAGTGCCTCCTTTTAACAATTAACTTGCGAGACAATATAATTGCATTATGCATTTTCATTATTTGACGGCATAGACCTTCATTAACCTTCTCTTAGTGTTTTGTACAGATTTTAATTAACAGGCTTGCTTTGTTGTTTCATGTCAACCTGTTCATCATGCTAAAGCTTTCAGGGTGAATTATCATAATGAAAAACCCTTCATCACCTACTTGAAATCCAGAAGTTGCAGCTCGTGATGTTGATCTCCCAGGACTGTCTTTAAATTTGAGTTTTGATCAGAGTTGGAAGTCTCTATCTTGCCTAATAGCTGCATTACCTAATGAGAATTCAAGAGAGAACGCCTTCATGAGCCACACTATGAGCTCTTGGATTTAAATATGCAATATGATTGCAAGCATGGAAGAGAAAAACAGCTAACATCACGGTACAGCTACACAGAAATTAACTCCTCTCACATAATTTGATTCAGTAAAGGCTGAAAGCTTGATCTCAGAGCTGCCAAGACCTGCTGAAGTCAAAGTCTTCATGGATGCAGGTTTTGTGATTACATGCATGGGTGAAAAACATCCTTTTTATTTGAACAGGGCACAGGGTACGGCTCAAATCTCCCCAATGGCGTCACCAAAAAAATGGGTAAATCCTGGAAATCGCGTGTGTGTTGCCAGGCGTTGGCTGTCCAACACCTGACAGCATTCCAAGAGGGGTGAAGAGAGGAGAGGTTCATCTGCAGGAGCAGATGCTTTGGTGATTGCAGCACTAAGATGGTACCTGGGAGTACCAGCATCTCCCTGCCCGACTTCTCACATCACACAGATTTTTCAGAGATTTTACACTAAATGAGCACAAAAATTCCTGGCGAGGAGATGCTACCACCTGCTTGATGGCTGTGGCACGTCAGTGTCAGCAAGGTGCCACTGACGGCTCATAATGTTGACTTGGTATCTTCTTTCTTTACAGCAACAGGTGAATCCTTTACAGAAATTCTTTCCTTTATTCTTTCCTACAAACATGTCAGAATAATTTTTTTCCCTTTTTCAACTGAGGAAGTTTCTTCTACATCCTGCTCCATGCCTACTCTGATTTATTTTTACATTATTTTGTGCACTGCCTCTTGTGACTCTGATACACGCCCGCTCCCTTCCCCATTTCTAGGTGAGGAAGGATATTTTTTCATAGATATTCAAGGAGACAGATGTCCAAACTGCTTGTGTTAACAGAATTCCAGGTAAGATATCTTTGTCTAAGTTCTGTCATTTTTCCCTGGAGAAGAGGACCTTGGGTACATGATGACTGGCACTGTGCCTTGTGCAGCAGAAAATGTGGTCAAAATACAGTAATGAAAATACACTTGTTGCCAGAATGCATGAGAAATTGAATGTTCCACACTCATGGGTGATGTTTGGTTCAAAGCAGAAGCAGAGAGCCACCATGCTGCAGGTTTAGAAATCTGAATTTTCTGGATTCTTGTAAAAATATTACTGCTAATGTTCATGATTCTGCTAGAGGCTGCAAAACTGCCCCCGAGCACCATGAACCTCGGGCAAGGAGAGGCCAGCAGCGGAACGATGGGCAGTAACAGTTCTCACCTAGCTAGCCCACTCCATGGGCAAGAAAAGAGAAAACATTCTCACAAAACACCATTTACCAAAACTTTTTCAGTGTTACGGTTTCAAAATCCTTTTGAAGTACTCCCAAAATTAATAAGGAATTAGATATATGCTGTTAGATGCCACCCTGACACTACCTTAAAATGAAAGAAAACACAGCAAATGTAGATGACAATTTTTAGCTCCGAAATGCCGGCAACTGAGATTTGCAGATGCACTTGAATGTAAGTCAAACTGAGAAGGAGTAATCCGTCATTTATGATCTGAGGATCCCCAAATCCTGGAATATTTTTGTTACCTGTTATTACCTTTCATCTATGATAAACACTATGAGATGGAGACTGGTAGCAAGTGGTATCCTTGAGAGGTCCATACTGGGACCAGTGATGTTTAATGTCTTCACCCACAGCACGGACAGTGGGATCGAGGCTCCCTCAGCAAGTTTGCTGATGACACCGAGCTGTGCGGGGCACTTGACACGCCAGGGGGAAGGGATGTCACCCATAGGGACACGGGCAGGCTGGACAGCTGGGACAATGTGAACCTCAGGAGGCTGGACAAGGGCAAGGCCAAGGTGCTGCCATGGGTCAGGGCAATCCCAAGCACAGGCATGGGGTGAAGGGTGAGTGGATGAAGAGCAGCCCCAAGGAGAAGGGTCTGAAGGCGCTGGTGGGTGAAAAGCTGGACATGAGCCAGAAATGCTTGCTCATGGCCCAGAAAGTCAATCACATCCTGGGCTGCACGAAAAACTGCATGGCCAAGCAGGTTGATGATGCCTCTCTCCTCTTTTCTGGTGAGACCCCCTCTGCAGTGCTGTGTCCAGCTCTGGGTTCTCCAACCCAAGAAGGAGATGGACTTGTTGGAGCAGGTCCAGAGGAGGCCACAGAGATGCTCAGGGGGCTGGGACACCTCCCCTGTGGGGACAGGCGGGAGAGTTGGGGCTGTTCAACCTGGAGAAGAGAAGGCTCCAGAGAAACTTTGTACTGTCCTTCTGGTATCTGAAGGGGCTGCAGGAGAGCTGGGGAGGGACTCCTCACCGGGGAGAGTGGTGGTAGGACCAAGGGTGATGGTTTCAGACTGAAACAGGGGAGATTTAAATTAGACTTGAGGAAGTTCTTTGAGGGTGGTGAGACCCTGGCACAGGTTGCCCAGAGGTGGAGGCTCCATCCCTGGAGACATCCAAGGTCAGCCTGGATGGGGCTCTTAGCAACCTGATCAAGTTAAAGGTGTCCCTGCTCACTGCAGGGGGCTGGGCCTAGATGACATTTAAAGACTCCTTCCAAGCAAAAATATTCTACGAATTTACAATTCTGTGATTCCACAGTATTATGGAAAACATTTTTTCATCAGAAATCCTGACATACCACATAAACAGTGTATCAGTCTTTAATATTGATCAGCCACTAGGGAAAGAAGCTGTATATATATATACATACAGTTCCCACTCACCATGTGCTCCACTGAAGGTTTCTCTACTCACCTTCTTCTCAAAATCACCAACACAACTGCTGAGGGCAGAGCGAAGGCCATAAATCTCTTTATCAGTCTTCTGGGCCTCGCGCCTGATGGTACCAATGTCTCCTGAGAGCTTTGCCATGCTCGCCTCACACCTGCAGCCAGAACGGGGACCAGAGTCTCTGCAGAGGGGGCTGGAGGATGGGTAAAGGTTGGTCTCCACCTCAACCTCCCCTCCCCGATCAAATCCAGCCTCCCTGGGGCCAGTGAGTGACAAAATAGGCAGAGACACCCCATCCCGATGGGTTTCCCAATGTGAGGTGCTCCTGGAAGTGATGACGAGGTAGCAGGATGTGGGACATCCCCCCCTGATTCCCCAATATCCAGTCTCAAGAAATTAAATTATTTCCAAATTGTAAATTGAGAGGCTAACCTGATTTAGCCTCGAAGCAATCCCAGCCTTTGGGTGCACACCAGGAGAGAAAGCATGACCACCCTAGCCTGTGGCCTCCACTGTCTGGGCATGGGGAAGATTGCTTTTAGAGAAAAAAAAAAGAAACCTTCCTGTTTTGTGAGGAGCACAGGGTCCTTTGCTGTTTAAACTCAAGTTTCATTCACCAAAATGTCTCGTCCCGTTTGAAATAGACAAATGGATGATTCGAATGTGATGGTATTAATTGAGATGCTCAGGGATTTAATAATATTCCCCCAGCAGTCTTTTCTAGGTAGAATGGATGAGTGCTCCAGCTCATTTCATGTGTACATGTGTATACATCTATATACATATATATATATATATATAAATATGTACATGTATATATGCACACCCATTTTACATGTATAGTGTGTATATATACATGTACATATATGTAAATATATACATATTTTTTTACCATAAGTGAGAAGATTTTGTTCACTGTATATGTAAATATACATATAACATTATACATATATTTAATATGAGCAAGGACACACAGACTTTCCCTCCATAACCCCTCCCTCATGCTGCTCCCCCAGGAATAACCACCTGCCCCGGTGCTGGTAGATATGCAAAAAAAAAAAGAGTGTGGAAGAAAAACACTTAAGGCCACCAAGTAGCACACAATTTAATGTAAATATCAGAATAGAAATCAAGTGAGGAAAACACCGAGGTTTTAAAATGCCAGAGAAATTATCCTCCAAAGCACCACCACCAAACAAAGCTTGTGCTGTTGACAGATAAAGGATCTAAAGAGAAATTTTGACAGTTTAAACAGAATAGCTTTTTGTCATCTCCTGATGATGCTTAGATATTGTAATACACCTACAAAGCATGTTGATAAAGGAAATAAGGAAAAAAAGAGGCAAGCAAAACACTTTCATGCAGATAATAGAGGCTTTGTATGAAGGCCAGAACTTTGATCAAAGGAAACCACTGATTCACAAAACAAGTACAAAATAGCTGTGAAGGTGAACGTGGGTCTGATGAGAAGGAAGAGGATTAATGGAGCAGTAGGAAGACACCACTTCAGTTATAAGAGAAAGACACCTGAATATTCTATATAGAGAACACTTAAAACCAGAAGATTTGATGCTAAGATGCAAAAAATTGAAATAAAAATGACCAGTAGTCTTGCAGCATGGGATTAATGCAACCACATCTGCATTACTGCATAGCCTGAGGGGCCGGAGCCCTGCCTGGGGACATGCAGACGTGGAGGATGGTTTTGCAAAGACCCTCAGCACCGCTGACAGGCCTTAAATCTCCAGTCTTGCTCATTTCTCACTTTCCTTACATGTATCTGATATCACTATTACGTGCAAAGCTGTTAAATGCATTGCTGCTATTTGGCAGACTGAGTCCAGAGGAGAACAAGGATGCTTGGGACTTGCTCAAGTCTTGCTGTATTTTGATTTTTTTGTGTAGAAGTGGAGCATCTCGCAGCAAGATCGTGGTCACAGAGAACAGAGGACGGGGAGTGTGAAAGCAGCAGCAGAGACAGAGTGGGAATGGTACAGAAAGAGTGCTCCTATGGGATCTGCATGTAAGTTAAACAGCCTCTGACGGCTGCATCAAAGCATTTAATTAGAGTCAGGAATATAACTAATTGCTGCAGGAGCTTTATCCTCCAAAGTCTTGGAAGGAATAGTACACATCGGACTGCTCTCCTTGCCAAAATATTACATTTTCCAAAGTGCCGAGAAACTACGCGGGCATACCCCAGGGTTTTTGATAGTCCAGTATTATGTTGGACTTTTTCTCTCATGAGAAAAATAAGTACAATGTAAACATGTGCCTAAAGTGCGTTGTTTATTCATTTCCATGTTCACTTATTCTTCTGTCTGTGAGGCTGAAGAGAACAAATATTTATCAGAACCATGACTTTTTTTACAGTTGATTACTTAATTCTTTCTACTGTAATACATATCCCCATGCCCAAAGGAATTCCCATTAAGAGATAGAATACAAATAAAATATGTAGTTAATTGAATGAGAATGCCACTGTAGCTGAGATTCTGAAGGGTATTTCATAAAAAAACACTGCTTCTTGACAAATAATGTTTACACAGTGTAAAAATGTAGTTAAAAAGTCCAAGAATTAATGGCTCACCACCCCAGTAAGGTGGTGAGAGGTGTCTGTTTAATTTCCAGGGACAAGGAAGAGTAAAAGAATAGACACAATTTGAATTACAAGAGTTAATCCACCTTAATCCTTTATACATGGGGGAATGCAAGAGGATGAATCATCTGCTCTGAGAAAGAGCAGTGGATACATTTAAGGTTCATTTCATCCCAAATAGTCTTGGATTAAGGTTAGCCTACAAGTCAAGAGGAAAACTGTCATCACAAGTTTGCATCTGGCAGATTTCTATTAATTCAATAGATGTAAATTATACCATCACGTGCACTTGTCTCCAGCCACTCTGGGGTCTCTTTAATACACATATAAATTTTAAATCCTGAAATGCAGGAGCAAAGAAACGTGAAAAATCAAAATATTAATCATCACAGTAATGGCAGTCAGTTCTGCCTGTCAGCTCAGGCTCACTCCTCAACCACGATGCTGGGGGCAGGTACGCACTTAAGGCTTGGCATTTCCAGAGGGGAACTTCAGCAGCAAGAAAAACAAGAAAGTGCTGATGATTCATGAATCACACAGAACTATACTATGCTTTAGCTTAATGGCAACCATTCGCATAAAACTGCATTATAATATCGCTGTGGAAATGCCACTAAAATGCCAGCTCTGGCTCTGCAATACCAGTAGGTTTTGATGGAGCTGGAAAACCTGCCATTTTCTTGCCTTAAAAATAAATGAGGTCTGAGGACTTCTTTTCCAGCATCATACAACAATGACTTTGGTGCCCTCACTACAGTTTTTTATGTGCAATACGTGTTGTGGGATCCTCCCTTCTACCTCTGGGAAAGGTCAGCCAACGCACCCAAAAAATGGGTTGTGGACCTCCGTGACTGATGAACTTCTCTTTTCTTCTGGTTTTTCTTTTTTCTTTACACGGGTAGAAGTGGACTGGTCTTCACCTCCCCCCCTCCCCGCCCCTTCCCCCACAATTGTCCTGTTTTCCTCAAGTGTTTTTGCCATCCTCTGCTGCAGGAAAATGCTCAAGATGGGAGCAAGACCTGGTATGGCTGATGAAGGGGAGCATCACTAATGAAGGGGAGGAAAACACAGGGAAAAGAGGAGTGAGACATTTCACCATCAAATGTTTCGGCTTTTCTAGAAGCATATTGTCTAGAGAGTCTGTCGACCCGAATTTGAAAACATCAGGAGTCTCTGGCAGGATCACCTCCTACTTTCTTCCAATGCTAATCAGCCACAAGGTTTAAAAAAACCCATCTTTTTCTTGCCAACTTTGAATGTGTTGGCTTTAGCTCCTCATTTTGGATTCCTGGGTCTCTCTGCAGTAGTCTGGAGTCCTCCAGTAACCTATGATTTTTTTTTCCCCTTTCACTGTTGGTAGTTGTACATGGAAATGAAGACATCTCTAGTTTTATTTTTTTCTACAAACTATACATAGATGTACAATTCCTTCTGCCAGAAACTTCCCTGTCCTGGCACCACATTCCTGGCTCTTCTTTACACCATATCAGGTTTTTCCATTTCAGAAAGGGAACTCTGGGCTCAGTACAGTATTTTGGTATTAATACATAGAGCTAAAAAACCCCACCTCCCTGATTACTGGTCCTTTGCTTCTCTTGTCCAAGACCCAATTCCTGGCATTTCTGATACTGCATCATTGCAAGAGCTCACATGAGTTATTTACCTGCTGTACTCCCCAAAATTTTCAAGGGGCACTCAGCAGCGGAACAGTCTTCCTTTGGGTTTATAAAATACTTTTTTTTTCTCTGTCAGCCCACATTGCCAATAATCCTGGTTATTTTCTGTTGCCACCTTGCCCTCACTTGACCAATTTTGGTGTTATCTCCAAATGTCATTAGCAGTGTTTTATACGAAAACATATGACTGGCCTCGGGAGGAAAAAAAATATTAGAAATACGCAATTTCAGGGAGATTTCTTCCTTAATGACTACTTTTCCTGATCTATCAGTTCAGACAGTTATTAAATATTACAAAGAAAAGTTTAACTTTGTCTTTCCTTTAATCACAATATTTTGTGTTACGAAGTGCCCCATGGAAGCCTGCTTGTGTTATATATGTGCAATTACTCCTGCCAATGAAAACATATCATCTTATCTGAGGAAGAAATTAAGTTTGCTCAGAAAGATCTGCTTTCCAAGAGGGGAAATAAAGATTTTATTGAAACAACAGAAGAGTTTCAGTAGGAGGAAATAATCACTTCAAGCTGACGTAAAGCCAAACTGGAGAAAGAAATAATTCTCTAAAATGTTAAGTGTATGATGAAGAACAAGACAGGATAATACAATTATTTTTCCCCGGCTTGGTAATTTTTCTAACACGAAGAGTATGAAGCAGAGATTGGGCGCTAAAACAGAGATCTAAAATGAGTGCAAAGTGCTTTCTTGCCCACTCTGAAACTGCTCTGCAGAAATCAACCAGCAGAGATGAAAATAAGGGCCACGGCACATTCCTCACCTTGCCACTCTTCCACGTAGGTCTCCAAGACCCTGGATGCATTTATGGTCCAGGCTTTGAATAGCAAAATTAGTTGCTACTGCGGCACCATCTCTTGTTCTTATTTGCCTCTCCAAAACCTGTAATTTCAAGACCATTAAAGCACTTTTGGTTTTCTACTGGTTTGTTGTTTTGTTGGGTTTTTTTCTTTCCAAAAACAGGTTTCAAAGCACTGTTTAGGGCAGCAGTTCTAAAACCTTATTTTTCTTTCTTGGAGAAAGCAACAGTGTATTTTCCTTTCAAAAATCTATATCTGAATAAATAATATGCCTGAGTTTTTTTTCTCTTGAAATACATACTTTATGTTGAATAACCTACTGCATGAAAATTAGGAAATGCAAAAATTGCCAAATTACCTTTATTGTCCCCCTCAAACATCCACTGTACAGTGCAGTCCACAATAAATAAGACACAGTTTTCTTGGTTTTTTTTTCACAGATATGCTCACCCAACCTTGAACAAGAATGCGGGTCAGTATAAGCATCTCCTTAATGTCTTGTTTTACCTCTATTGCTCAGTACATGGCCTGGTGTCTGATTTATTGCATGCTATTAAAAGTCTGATCTTAAGATGGAAGGAGTAACAGCCCTGAGGGCTCTTCTGAAGTGCCTCATCCTGATGGTATCTGAATGTGTCACAAGCATTAATTTTAGGAAGCCCTTGTGCAGCCACTGTGACCTTTTACAGATACATAGCAGAGTAATGATTTCTAAAATCTCTCAATTTTGCTTCTCAGGTTGAAAGTAGAATCTCAGAACTGGTATTTCAGTGTAATTTAGCACTACACAGCACCTCACCTGGTCAAATCACAGCTTTTTCTTTTATTATTGCAAATATCCTATTTGTAATAGAATGGCTTTTACCGCGTTTTATTTGAAACATTCCCCACTGCATGAATTATTTATGATTTTTTAAAAAAAAAAAAAATAAAGGAAAGGATAAAAGGGAAAATTCCAGCTGCAAATGCTTGAAGTTTGGCACATCTGGTGCAGATGTGTTCGCCTGCCCCGTGGTCAGGCAGGTTCGTCCCTCTGGGGAGGAGAGGTTTATAAACCAGCACCGCTGCCCTCACTTTTAAAGCAGAAGGAGACACGTCAGCCTTCATCAAAAGTAGGGCACAGATGAGTAGAGAAAGCTGAGGTAGCTCTGGAGTAAGATGTAGTTCAAATCTGCCATTTATGCAGTTATTCCTGAATAATCCTGGCACACAGGCTATGGATAGCTGAAGAGTATAGCGGGCATTCATGTTTTCGTTGTGCATTGGAGAACAATGTTCTCAAAGTGTTGGGTGCCCTGCACGACTCAAGAGTGTTTTTGGCAAGCTTGGTGCCACAAGTCCTGGAAGAGGCACAGAACGGGGCCACAGCTCCCTCGCGGGCAAAAGCATCACCTCGTGTATGAGGAGGGGAAGCAGTAGAGGCTCCCGTTTATCGAGGGAGATAGATATTCTCCTTCCCCACCTAGTTTTCCCAAGCTCCTGGCAGAGGTCACCACCAGAGAACCAGGTCCTAACATCATATTTGTGAAGGACAGTCACCTCTTGGTCTGCCCAGCCCCTCAGCTGAGATCCGACTGTCTTACTCCCATTATCAGAGATTATACCAGGCACGTTTCCCCTCTGCCCCTATTTTTTAGTATTGATGCTATTTTATTGTAATTTGCAGTCACAGAATCATAGGATCATTGAGGTCGGAAAAGACCCCTGGGATCACTGAGTCCAACCATGAACCCTACTCTGCAAAGCTCCCCTGTAAACCACCTCCCCAACACCACATCTCAACAACCTTTAAACACCTCCAGGGATGGGGACTCCACCACCTCCCTGGGCAGCCTGTGCCAATCTCTGACCACTCTTGCTGGGAAAAAGTTTTTCCTACTCTCCAGTCTAAGCCTCCCCTGTTGCAGTTTGAAGCCATTCCCTCCTGTTCTATCGCTCATTACCGGTGAGAAGAGACCAGCACCAACCTCTCTACAATGTCCTTTCAGGCAGTTGTAGAGAGTGGTGAGGTGTCCTATCAGCCTCCTCTTCTTCTTCAGTCCTTTCCTGGGATGGTGAAGGTTGTGTTTTTCAAGGGCTGGTCATTTTCCACCTGATGCTAATCACTTTGATGACCCAAGTGCAGAGGGATGTGTTTAGCCAGGCTCAGCCTCACTGGAGGCTGCTGGAACATCTGCCCCAGAGCAGGCTTTTTTGAAGGATACTCTTCCTGCTTTGGGGAACACTTGAGGTATGAGCGAGTCACATTTCTTGCCAGATCCTTTTCTGTTTTTCTTCTTTTTTTTTTTCAAATGCTTGAGAAATTAACTATGCTCAACTGCTCTCATTCACTGCGTGCCAGAGTCAATTCTCCAAACCTCCACTAATTCTGTGCTGGCTTTGACTGACACGTCTCACTGAGCTGTTTTCTGTGCTGTGGGTGCTCTACCCTCATCAAATCCTCACAACTCAGACACACACCTGAGATGAGGACCTAGAGAAGAGTTAATTTACAACTAAAGGAAAAGATTAGATTAAAGTGCTAATAGCATCTTAGGTGTTTTTGTAGCAAAGCAGCCCTGAACATACTTTGTCTGGATAGGGTTAGACAAATTGGATGGTTTCAAATAAGTGGTTTTATACCACTTTTTATCACCGTAGTACCAAACTCTTGAAAACAAAAGCAGTGCGAAGTGAACACCTTGGTTTTAATTCAGCTTAATTGTAGGCGAGCCAGGATTTTGTATTTCTTAACGTAAAGGTACAGGAAAAAAATTTCTCCAGGTACATGAAAACAAAATATACTCTAAATTTAGCAGTATTTGCAAGATCCTTAATGTGACAAAACTCTGGAGAAGCCTGTCTCAGGATATTTTTGTATTTTACATTTTTGACCAGAGAAGGTGTTGGTAAATTCAACAAATAACAGCAAAGAACTAAAGGTTGTCAGCCCTTTGATTAAGGGCATTTCACACCATTTCCAGCACAGCATCATCAATCTGCTTAAATAAAACACAGACCTGAACCTTCACTCTGGTTTGCACTGATCTTTGTGAAAAGTTTTTCAGCCGTATTTAATTATGCCTGCATGTAGCATTTTATATAAAGTAGCAGAACATCTGCATTGGGAAAACTAAGAAGTAAAACCAGACTTGAGTCTTGGCGTTGCACATTAGAAGAAAACACAGCTTGCTCCTTACTTTCCTTTAAACTCAGTCTTTCACACTCCAGTAAAACCAAAAGCAAATAGAATCTCAATCTTTGAACTAAAACACTGCCTCAAACCATTACTCTGCTTTGTATTTCCTTTTACTTTCCTTTTTTAAGCCTCTCTTTCCCTAGTCCCCTCCCTTCTGCTTTCACAAGTATCTGCAAGTGCCGCCAGACAAGAAAAATCAGAATTTAACTAAGACATAGAGGTTGTGTTGAGCACTTTTTCTACTCTTGAAGCCACTGTTAGTGTCGACTGGACCATGGGCTGGAGCTGCACCACTGAAGCAGGGAAATGCTCCTCGTCACACATTACCTCAATGTCATGGCTGAGCGTTTTGACGATGCTTGTGATGGTCTGGATGTGGTTTTCCAGCAGCTGCTGGGCAGCATTCTCCCCGTGCTGACAACCTTTGCTCCCCTGCAGGTAGGAAACGATGTCGTCTTTGATTCGGAAAGCCTGATGGAGGAGGAGAGCTGTAGTCCTCTCCTGGCTGGATAATCGCTCTTCCAGCAAGTGAGCCCTATCTCCAGGGTGAAGGGAGGGAGAAAGGTCTCTCCTGTGAACACCAAAAACACCGGTGTCATGACCAGCAAGCCAAGGGATGTGAGTGGGACCAGTCTCAGCTCTGGCTGTCCAGGTTTATCTGCTGTACCAGGGGTTTTCATGCTCCCATACATTGCTGTGCATCCCTGCAGTACCTCCGGTGATAACAACCTCCCCACGCTGGGCTAACGTGTTGGCTCTCAGTAATGGTTTTGGCAATGCAAACGACATTTTTGTTGCAGCTATCAGCCAAAATCCACACAGCTTAAGGACATGGGGTTATTTTCAGAGGCTTTGAGGTACTTCTGCAATGTGTCATCATTGCAGTCTTCATTTTAAGCTCTTTCTGTTTCATTTCAAATAAAGGCACAAGTGAACGTGCCACTTTTGAAAACACCTCTGTGGGTACGGCGATGGTCAGGCAGAGCAGCCCCAGGAACACACCCTGGCTGAGAGCAGACGCCAGAAGAGCTCATGCTAAGTACAGCCACTCTTCTCGTTGTTTTTCTTTGTGTTATTTACACCTACCCATTGGAAAGAAGTCTGAAATCCTCTAGTTTTTCTTCCAGCTACCCCTCTCCCCATGCTGAAACCCAGCGGGGTGAGCCAGGGGCTGTAATACTCTCAGTGAAACTGTACAAATATAGAACACAGGAAGGATGTTGCAAGGATCTGAAACTGGCAGAATGAAGCTCAATTTAGACAGGCACAATCTGGATTTTGAGGGAAACTAGTCACCATTTACTTTTTTTTTTCTGTAAAAAAGCCAGAGAGATATTTAATTACTGCAGAACTTTTGAGTTTGCATGTTCTCCAGAAAACGAAGTATGCTTTATGTTTTAGTTTAACCTGAATGGCATGTTTTTTATACTCTCAGTGCTATATGAAGCACGCTTTCATCATGCAGTTTAGCTAAACCCTGTAGCTTAATGATGAATTAAAATACCCAGTTAGTCATTTGGGAGAGAAGTCATACATTTTTTTTTCCTCATTCTCTGCTTTTAGACGGCTATAAATAAAAGTTCTGATGTAAAAATAATTTTTAAAAGAGAAAGGCAAAGACAATTCTGCTACCCTATTCAATCAATACACAAAATGCAAAGATGACAGTTTAATGACTCAAGTGTGTCCAAGGATACTCTGCAACAAATTTTAGAGCTGCAACAATATTCTGCAGCTGGCTTATGTCTGCATGTACCAGGAGCTACTTCACATTTGCTGGCACAAGTTTTAAAATAAACATAACCTTTGACAGCCACAAGATCTGAACACTTAATTTGAATCTTTTCTTGGTAAAAAAACTCTAAATATCAAAAACGGCCAGTCGAGTCTGTATGAGCTCTCTTCCGCTTGAGACAGCAGAAGCCACTGCTTGAAAATGAAGCATGTGGTCCTGGTTTGACCAAGGCACTCTTAGGGAAGTCAGAATAGAGTCTTGCCACGTTGTTTCTTGCACAGGCAGCCAAGGTGGGCACCGTGCAGCGATGCAAAAGCAATGGCTCGATTTCAGCCTGAGCCCTGCTAAGTGCTCAAATGTGTGAGCTCTGAGCCTTTGTTCCCCTTAGCCTCTCTGCCTTTTCACCTGCCTTGCAGCCAGTTTCCTCCTGAGCAGTCCCAAGGAATTCCCCCTGGACTTCCCATGGATATCTGAGCCTACTCAGGCACTCTCATGACCAGAAGAGATGGGTGTTGCTCTCCTGCCCCTCTCTTCTTTTCTTTCCTTGGCTCTTTTTCTCTAGTCCCAGTCACTCAGTCCTGTTTTTGCATCCAGATCAGCACTGCAGGGAGAGTTGAGGAGGCAGCGAAGGTGGAGGGGGGGGGAACCCTCAAAAAATCTCACAAAAAAATGGGAGGCAGCAGTGACTCACCAGGCTAATGAGAAGTTTTGCTGTCATGATAACGGTCTCAAGCCCCTCGAGAAGGGCTGGAGCCCACAGGATGCCTGTCAGAGCCAGCACCTCCTTCCGAGCCTTTGCAGGTCACTAGCCTGGAAGCCTCAGCCAGCCGGCCAGACCCCGAGCAAGCTTGGAGTACATCAAAATGAGGACATCTAGGAGCACAGGAGATGGCTACCTCACATCAGCTTGCATGGGTTTAGATCCATCATTTACAGTTTCTGCTACAAACCTTGTTGGCCTGCCAATCTAACGAAATTTTTAGGTCTGATTTTATCTGGCATTAGTAGAACTAACATGGGTTTAGGAGGTCTGAGCCTCTTCCATTTACTAACAACCTCCTTCAAGAGAGCTGAGTGTGTGCAATAAGCAAACCCTGCAATGTGCTGCTCCAAACACTTTGATTACTTTTATCAGTCATAATTAACTGCTGAGCGGAGAAAGCAAGAAGGTTTTCTGATTCCAAGGGCCTCATACCCTGAAAGTACTTTACACCAGTTGCTCCTTCCATGGTGTCAGGATGCTTTCTGATCCATCTCCTGAGGCTCAGGGCCAATGCCTGGAGGAGATGTTCTGTTCTCCAGCTGAACTGCTAAAGCACACACGCTAATGGCTTTAAGTGTCCAGGTAGTATCAACAGAGATACTGCTAGAAAATAAAGGAGGCTGATTAAAGAAGAGCTAGGCAAGCTACCGCAGCTGCTCCCATAGGGAGAAAAAGCTGCACTTAGGGAGAAAAAGAAGGTTCAAATGGGGCAAATACCTCTGGATGCTGTATCAGCTGGATTTTCTTTGTTTTTTTTTTTTCTGTTACTACTGAGAGTGCTTTAGTCGGGCTAAAAAAAAAAAAAAGAGGGGCATTTGGATCCTAGCAAATAACATTATTGTTCTGCCCATTACACTATTAGCATTTTCTAACAGAATTTTCTGCTGGCACAGCTGCAGTTTCAACTTTAGGAAAACAAATTTAAGTCAGTGGCCTGAAGGGTTAGAGGGACTGCACGAAAGTATCAAGAAAATTCAGAGGAGCAACATTTACAAATGTGACATCAAGGGCAGTTAATCAGTCAGCCATTACTTTAAGTTGCCCCCTCAATGCTATGAAAGAAAGAGTAATCTGCCAGGATGGCACTTCATGGTCGTACGTAATCAACATGCACATCTAACTCACACAGACCTTGAATATTCCTGGTAGATGCAAATCCATCCTCATTTCTCTGCTTGTTCAGTGGAGACCAGGCAAGGATACAGCTTAAGGAGAATCTGGATTTGGCCTGGTTGAGCTGCTGATAGGGAGGCACAGGAGAAAATACATCCAAGGCTTAAACACAATGTGTGATTTTTTGTGTGTTTTTCCAGGATACTTTGCTGACACAGAGGCTTTCCCAGCAGCATGTCCTTCCCTGACCAGCCACCTCCACCATCCACGGATGGAAGGACAGGGCTGAAAAAGTAGCTCCTGTTTGACCCAAGCTGCTGCACGATTGGGTTAATTTGTGTATTGCCCAAATAAATTTTTTTTGCTTGTTTTGCTTTTGGAAGCCTAGACCTGAGGAAGAGCTGGAACAACCCACGAAGGGCGGTTTGCCAGCGGCTGCACATCCTGAATGTTTCCACCTGCTGGGGTTAGAGTGTTTTTTTGTACCTTTGATGTGGGTCACTCAGCCCCTCCCTGCAGTCTAACAGTCAGCCCGTCCTCCCCGTTATAACCTAGCCACAGATTTTTTTGCACCTCCCCTGAGAACCAGGGACCTGCTGTGCAGACATTCTGTTAATAAAACCCACGAAGTTTTAAGAACTGTCTGAACCACACAGTAAACATGGCCACACAAAGTGGTCCCACTGGAGATATTTTAACACAGATCTTGAAAAAGCCTCCCAAATCCTTGCAGAAATTTACCATGTAGCTGTGAATCATGCGCAGCCAACGCTACGATACAGTGATTGCTATTCACATCCTAGCTCAGTTAACGCAAACATTTCCCATACTTTAGCACAGGAAAAGACGTCTGTCCCTCCAAAAAAAGCTCAAAGTCATGCCTGCCTCGCCTCATCTCTGTTTTTTCCCCACTCACAGCAATCATCCACTGCACCTTCCATGCTCGGGGTGGCTCCAGAGGGATGGAGCTGTGAGCTGTGAGACTTGGAGACTCTGACACCTTGAAGCCAATAGCTTAAAATTACATGCTTTGGCCAATAAGACAAAGAAACAAACAAAAATGCCAGCATTTTAAGAAAGAGCTCCTATTGGCTTATTCTCCCAGCTAGCAAAATTAGCACAGGTGAAGTGTGTGAGGTATAGGTTTGAGGCAGCGTTACCCCTCAAGCAGAAGCGGCATGGCCATGCAAGGCTCTAGCAACAATACTATGATTATGCAGGAAGGGTTGCAGGGGATAGAAGGTATCAGGGAGCTCAACATTCAAGAGGTTCACGATAATCATTAAACGGTCTGTGAAACACTCCTGGTCTAGTGGCGAGTGGTTGTTGAGCGGCATTGGCAGGAGCCAGGAGCTTTGCGTGTCCCTCAGCTCTCCAAAGTGTGTGGAAAGGCAATCCTTGCCCAGAGATCAAGGAAATTATGGAGATCTTACTTCAGAAAAATACCTCCAGCTGGTTCATGCAGTAAGCTGAGGGGGCAGGGCAGGATGGGATGTTCAGAAAGGGCAGTGCAGGGGACTGAGACTGTTTTTGTGGGGCAAGGGAACCGCATCGGCGCAGGGCAGCTGCCTTTGCCATGTGAACCAGCACGTGGAGATCCAGGGGAGCCTCAGGGGTCCTGAGAACGTACACTACCAGGCTGCAGAGGTTCGTAATGCTTCAGCATGACTCACTCAGCTCTTAATGACAGTCTTCATCCCTGCCGTAGAAAGGATGCCACAGAAATCAGAGGGCTGACACAAATGTTCTTCTGCGCGGAGCGGAGCGTTTCATAACCATGGTGTGATAACGGAGGTCACCCCGGGGAGGACTGTAGCTTGGGAATCAGCTAATACTGCGAGATGGTGAGTTGAATTTACTTACGTTGTTCACAGAGTAACCTTCTGAATAAAATGATCAGTGATGTGACTCATCTCTTGGTATCTAAATAAGTGCGGATGTAGGGATGTATATCCAAGAA